TATGAAATGAATACATGAATTTGATCTCAACTTTAAAGCCTTTTTTCGTACATACATACATATATGCACAAACATTTTTTTTACATCAGTTAGTATAAAATATTGAACCATTTGAACCGAACCGCGGTTCAGGGACACTTATAAACAGGTTCTTGAACCGGTAAAAGTTTTTTCTTAGTGGTTCGAACCACTGAACCGAACCGCATGGAGTTTTGGAATGGGTTGCAGCCTATATATGTCTGTCTTTGGCATTAATACTCATACTAGAGTTCTTCTTTCATTCCTTTTGAACTTTAATTGTTGGCATGTAATTTGTATATGACTTTAGCGAATTTCTGTAGTGACGAATTTGAAACCAAATGCGCAAGTTATCAATACTAATACACGACTGACTCATACGGTCCGCCGCTTCGCCGTTCTAAACGTAGTTTTTGTCATTCTCTTGTTTTAACGGTAGTTCCTAATTATGTTCATTCGTCACACAACATTTGTGTCCGTAGACTGATTCGAATATCCCAGTGCACCGATTCGTGGTGACTTCTGTGATAGCATCTCAAAGGAAGTTGAGATGGCAACTCGCGCAACTCGAGGCTACCAGCCCTGCAAGCCACCAGTCTGTTAAATCACCGACTAATTACCCAACAGCTCCATAAGAGATTCCTGTTAAAGTTTCTATGAGTTTCTTAAGGCCTAATAGACATTTCTAATTGAAACTCTTATGTACGTGTGATCATTCATCTCTTTCTTATCTATTGGGCTTATGTGTTAGTTTCCTCGATAATTCCTTTAATGTATTGAGTTTCCGTAGCCGTGACTTGTTGGGATGTTATCCAAAATTAGAATTTTCATTAGGTATTACCAGACTATATCATTAAGTAGCTTTATTAAGTGAGATTTTGTAATTTTTTTGAAAATTGTTGGTAAATCTGCCCTTAACTACACAAAATAAACTATCGATAGTGAGACGAAAATAAAACTATCGATAGTCCCATCGATTGTTTTGCAGCTCTATCTGCTAGAATGAATCAAAGAGTCTGAGGGCACAGCTATGATTTTATTGGGTATGAGAGTAAATTACCTGAGGGCTATTCGGAATAAATGCTTGTGTTAATATCTTGTAATTTCTTCCGAAGGGTGAACAAAGCTATATTCCAAAAATATTCTTCGTTGAAGCCGTGTTGTTTAGTCCAGTTACTGGGAGAGATACATAGTAAGTGGATCAATGCAAACGTCGTTGAAGTCTTTCAAATAAACAAGTAGAGGAATCAATTGGTGATCTAGCGGAATATCGGTAACACATTTTAAATATTTTTTGAAACCGAACGAAATTGCAACGATGGAAAGAATTTCAAATAAACGGAATACGAACTACGTAACAGCAAACTGTTACAAACAATATCATAACTCGGTGCACTCGCCTTTTCTCTTCGCGCCCTCGCTAACAAACTACGAGTGCGGCATCAAAAGATTCGTGTGTGAATAAGCACAAACCCTTCTCATAAGTGGATAGTTGTAAAAGTTCTAGTTCATAAAATTCATACCCTCTAAAGATGCCAAATATATTTAATTTCGAAAACTTGGGCATTTAACGCAAAAGATTTTGTAGAAACGTAATTCTCGAAAATGTGAACATAACTTTAATATCAGGGTTTCGAGTATAATCACGCAAAGAAAATTTTGTTATAATCGTCAGAAAAATAGTATACACTACCTTTCCACAATAGGGATATTAATTGCAACTTTTGCTTATTTTTGAATAATACAGTATATAATTTTGTAATATTTTCAAAATATTGATATAATAAATTGTTGATTTTACAGTAAGGAACGTCCTAAACGATCGTATTCAATTGGAAGTAAGATAGACAGAAACAAAATCAAACGATCGGGAAATTCGAACGAGATTTTACATGACAAAAACGCTATCCGAGTCCGAGCGTTTTCAGTTGGATCTCGTTCGAAAATTCCTAAATGTGACTTACAGCGTGCTGTTTTATTTCCCAGATCCCGCTGTAATCAGAGTTGTATTAGTAACAATAGTTTAAATTTTGGGGCTGACGATACTGGTTATAAATTGGGATTAAATACGAATTGATAAAAGTCAACGAGTGCTCCTATATTGGTCCAAAATAGTAAGTATCTGTGATTGTATTGATGTGATCTAATGGAAATTGATTTTTCGAAAAGTTCTAGCCATAAAAAAGATGGAAAAGCTGTACCTGGCAGTGGAAATTGTTCTGATGTATCGTTAAACGAAGTAAAGGGTTATCAGACATCAAAACCTGTTAGCGAGTTGTTACAAACATTTTCGTCTAAAAAAATAAATCATGAAGAAAGTGGATACTTGGAAATGAAGCCTTTGAATCAAGAAATATGTTCCATGCATAAGACTTCCCTGTCACATTCAAACGAAAGCTTTTCCGACACAACAAAAGAAAGTGACATTACATCTACATCACGCGTAAAAAGAAAGGAAGTACAAATATATTCCCACGGAAATTATCTATTTGAGGAAAAACTCACAAACAGTAAACAAAATCAGTTGTGTATGCCTACTAATGAACTTGATTTTGTATTACATGAAGAAAATCGAAATCACATTTGGAAGAAGTAAAACTTAATTACTTCGAACTCTGAGGAAATTACTTATCTTTCGTGCATATATTCCCAACTTTCAGTTCAACCAACTTCAAAAACAATTAATGAAACTGTAACTAAAAGAAGTATTGCTATGGTTGATACTGAGAAAATTATTAAATACAAAAAACATATTTCATGAGGAATATAGTAGAAATGTTCTTTGCTAGACAACATACATGGTAAAAATTACAGCTCTAAAGAAGCAGAATCCTCTTCTAACAGAGAGCGAAAATTGCCATTAGCAGGAATAAATGATAAATATTCTGTTTCATCAAACGTGCCTTCCTTGCCATTAGCACCATTGACCAACGCCAACAAACTTTCATCAGTCGCTCGATTCAAAGATTCTCCCACATTTTTGACCATCATAGATAATAGAGAAAGCGATTATGGGCTTCCGAGCTGTATAAACGAAAATAAAACACCGCATATTACCACGCTTACATCTTCAACTGCTTGCTCCAGTTATGAATTATATTACGCAAAGCTAGATCTGCCGCAATGCAGTACCAAAGATAATGCGAAATTCCAAAAAATTGAAAATGTTGCTTCTCCAACATAAGTGCAGAAAATGATTCATATGTAAAATAGATTTTGATCATTCTTCGGTTCATCATCTCTTCTAAAACTTTAAATTACTGAACCAACGAAAATTTATTTTTTGCTTAATATTTGAATGTAATAAATAACTCCAATTATTCATTGTGTATCTTTTATTACGATAATAAAAGATGTATAGTAACGATGGAAATGTATTAAGCAGATGGATAATATAGGTATAATGCATATTGTTTATTGATGCTTAAAATTGGAGAGAACCATGATCACCAATATCCACTGCCTGAAAACAGGCTTAAAATAATTCATTAAAATACAATTGAATTAACATAAAAAGTAATTGAATTAACATTTAAATAAAATTTGTTTTATTTTGTAATTCCCAAAATTTTAATTACAAATAATTAACAAATCTCTAATTTTAAATACCGGATTGAAAAATAAACAAATCCTATGTTTATGACTAAAATTTAAAAAAAATGTGATTTTGAATTTTAAAATCTTTTGCGCTTGCGTGGTTCGTGTTTTGCTTTTGGTTATCTTTGTAAGAAGATTTTTATTTTTAATAAATTGTCATCAATTTTTAACACTCTTTGTTTAATTTATTAATAGTTTTCGGTTAGAAATATTCATAAATTTCCTTTTTATCTATATTTCGCTTTTGATGTAGAAATAACTATTTTGGTACTCTATATTTTAAATTGAAAACATTTAAAAATTTTTAGTTCTCAAAACTGCTTCCAAAATGAATTTTGTATGAAAATAGTTAGTTTAGCTATAATTTCCCTAAACAACTCTTCTCCTTTTAATAGCCCTGATAAATAGTACATGAAAGCTTTGTTTATGACAAGAAGTCTAACACAAGTCAGTGTAAATATTATAAACTAAAAATGAGGAAAAAGCACTCTGAAACTTTTATGAGACACATAAAAAACGCTGACATTTTCGAGAAAATTATTTTCGAAATTACTGAAAAAAAACGCAAGAAATTCCAACCAGAATAATATTGCGAAGTACAATACATTGTGAACAAACCATCGTCAGCTACAGTTACACAGCTGCAAGTCACAAAAAATGGTCCTCCGTTCGAAATCGACTTCTTAATTGAATATCATGTATCGTATCATAATATATGTTCCTTTAAGATTTTTTAATCCAACAGCAAATAATAACGTTGCTATAAGCAAAATCGAAAGCCTAAGTGCAGCCTAAAAATTGCCAACCAAGACAGTAACTTACGCCTTTATAGAAATAGAAAACAATATGACATGCCATGACATGTGTGTGTTCTTCTTTATCAGTTTTCTTTTGTTATGTTTCTAATAAAACATGATTTGCTTAGGTTTTTGCTTTTCTGTAAAATTTATAAAATGTAACTTAGGGCTTTTTGATGTTATTGACGATATGTATGTATTTAAGAAACTCGATCACAACAAAATTTTCCATAATATGATTCAATTTCATAATTTTATTTTCAAAATCTAGAGTACAAAAATAAAATGGAGGTTTCTTTACAATTTTATTTTTCCACTGTTCTTAATTCTCATAAAATACTGGAAAACTAAGCAATATAAAATACTGATTTCCAGAAAAGGGTTGCACCACATTTTACCATTTTGATTTTAATTTATTTGTTTATTATGATTTTAAATTTTCTTTACATGTCAAAGTGACAGAAAACATATGACTTGGAAGAAGAGCTTAAAGCTTTGGGTGTGTTCATGAATCCATCGTAGTACAACAGAACACCACATAATTTCATTGGTTTCTTGAACGTTATTTTAGTACAGAACTTCATTTGCTTTGGAGCAAAAAATTAAAATACGGTTGACATACATATGGTTTCTTTAGTATACTACAATATGTACTATATGCAGGGCTGCAAACCGGTTTTGAACCGAACCGGAATGGACCCGGCTATTTTTACAAGCGTTGAACCGTATCAAGAACCGAACCGATTTTATTTAAAAATGGGAGAACCGAACCGAAAATCTATCAAAAAAATGGCTCGCTTTGGTTCAAAATGAAAATAAGCCCAAATAAACACTAATGAACGACTTGCTTAAAATGCAACCCTGCTACAAATTATTTGATGGAACGCCATAAGTAAAGCTACATTTGACACGTTGGAGGCACGCACCAGAGTGCCCTCCACACCTCACCGTTTCGGTAAAGTGTAGCTTCATAGTCTGTCCTGTACCAACAGCTTTAAAGCTTACTCCGATTCAATATATGTGTCTTCTATTGTCTTTTCCTACTGCAATCTACTTTCCATAAAAGCGGACAGTGTTAGTCGATTAGGTTCATAATAGGAATAAATGCACAATACATTGAAAATGGAGATTTGCTAATACACTCTCTGCCAATAAAAGAAATATTTGGGAATTTCTTTCTTTCCTTAAAAGCGGACAGTGTTAGTCGATTAGGTTCATAATAGAAATAAATGCACAATACAGTGAAAATGAAGATTTGCTAATACACACTCTGTCAATAAAAGAAATATTTGTGAAAGCAGAATATAATAATTGAAGTTTTAAAATCATATAAAATAAATATGGACAGAATGTCGGAAACTTTCTTAATAAAAATGCTCAAAACTTCCATCAAAGTCAACGGCTGTATACTGAAGAAGAAGGAAATGAAGTCACGTATTCACAAGGTAACTAAAACAATATGTCTTGGATCTTATTAATATATTTATGATTACCTTTAAATTATTTGTAGATTTAGATTTTGACATTGATGATGGTAGCAGTGGAGAAATTTCCGGCGCAACCATTCCAAATTCCACGTTTTTTATATCATAACTCCGTAAGTGTCATTAGGTGTGCTGCACATACCCCAAATTTAGCAGTGTCAGATTTCCTAAAGGAAATTTATGAAATCCGCAGCAAATTGAAATCCGTAGTAAAAAAGCTTAGACATACATACCTTGTTGAATCTGTTACGACTAGAAAACTTAAATAAGCCAGCTATGGAATGCGTGACTAGATGGCGGTGAACATACAACATCAAAAAAACGTTGGGTGGTTAAGCCGCAAGTTTCTGACTGCATTAACAGAATGAGGGGAATATTAACTAACTAATTCTAGTGCTTTAGCTGTCGTTTATTTAGACCCCAGGCATCAGATTTTATTATAAGACTCAGAAAAAAGATTTTGCAAAAAAACATTTGATTAAAGTTTTCGATCTCAAATCTAAAATACAATATTTAGGAACTGGAATCCATACTTGAACAATTAAATAAAAAGGAAACTTTACCAACTAGAAAAACGATTGTGAACATAATTAATTGTTTTGACAATATTTAACATCTTTTACTACTTGCAGATATTTTGCAATTTCGGCAAAACTATACAGTGAAAAAGTTAAAAAGTTTAGCCGAGATCGCGTTAGGTGCTCCTGCAAATCAAATGTCGGTCGAAAGAGCATTTTCAACTATACAATTTATTTTATCAGACTTAAGAGCAAGTATAGACAAAGACTTATTAGAAGACATTCTTTTAATAAACTTATATGCTGAGTAATCAAGAAATCGTTATTGCTGCGATTTATAAAATATCTTATTAAAAATGTTAATCGAAGTAACATGCTTGTAGCCTTTTGCTATATTAACCTCAGATATGTCACTTCTTTAAGTATAAATTCGCTCCAATAAAAGTATGTGTAATTATATAATAGTAAATGTCAATACTGATATGATAAATATGTATGTGAAATATGTAAATGAATTCATGAATTTGAATATGAAATGAATACATGAATTTGATCTCAACTTTAAAGCCTTGTTTCGTACATACATACATATATGCACAAACATTATTTTTACATCAGTTAGTATAAAATATTGAACCATTTGAACCGAACCTCGGTTCAAAGACACTTATAAACAGTTTCTTGAACCGGTACAAGTTTTTTCTTAGTGGTTCGAACCACTGAACCGAACGTTTTTGAAGTTTTGAAATGTGTTCATGCGACTTCTAAAAAACAACAATAACATTATCGGCATTTATGTATGTACACATATTTTCTTAAACATTGGCATATTTCCCGCGCTATACCGCAACCCAACCTTTTTGCTCTTCTCATTTCTCTTATATATTCTCTTAAAAAATATACATAAAAAGTAATATATTTACAACTATATATATATATAAATATAGGCACTCAGCAAAACTTTACAAAAACGCGTTACATGTATGCATGTACATATATGTATATGTACACATGCCAATATAACTAAAAAGTATACGTTTAAAACGGATTAGCATATACAAAGATGAAAATTAAAATTAACATACATAGGTATGCAGATATATATACATTTGTTGTTAAGAACAATTTTATTTTCGCGTTCCTTTTAAACAAATGTATATAGATACATATAATAAAAACGAAT